TTGTTAAACTCTAAACCTAAGAAATAGAGTAGAGCTAGCTTTCCTAAAAAAAATTTTTTTTAAATGTGTTTTGTCTGTCTATCTTTGTGTCCATGTGTGCTTGTTACCTGTGAAGGCCTTAAGGGGGGGGGGGTACAGATCCCCTGAGGCTAGGGTTGTAAACAGTTCTGACCTGGTGTGTGGAAGAGCAGCTAGTGCTCCTAACCACTGAGTGTCTCTTCAGTGTTAGAGCTAGTTTTGAATCTGCCTGCCTTATGCTTTCTGATCTTTGTAGAACTTTGGCTTCTTTGATGTTAGGTGTTCATATATTCCTCAGTTAAAAGGAAAGCATCCAGGCTCAGATTTTATTTTACTTTATCTCAGGTAAGAGAATTACTTCTCCATAGGTTTGGTATAGGATTGACCTTAAGTAGATTGCTACTTCCTGGGTCCTGTGATGGCTCCCCTGAGCCTTGTGAATCTGGGCAAAAGATTCCACCAAAAGTGTCTCCCTCATTTGTTACATTATATCCTTCAGGTCACAGGGAGTAGAAGAAACTCTGGGAAAAAATGTAGCCCCAGCAGTTTTGTGCCTTTAGAAGGGACTTAAGCTCTGTGTGGTAGCTCACGCCTGTAATCCCAACATTGAGCAAGCATAGGCCAGCTTGAGTTATAGTGTGAGATCCTGTTTCAAAACATTAAAACTAAAAACCAGATCAAACCAAATACCCCAAAAAGATGAGCCTTCTTGTTCCTGGGGTTGGGGTAAGGATAGCATAGGTGAGTTTGATTTGTTTGCTTTGTTGTTGTTTTGTCCCCTAGTTGTGTTCCCTACTGTTGTAAGATCTTTTTGCTTTATAAGTTGGGGAATCAAGGAGAAGTGCTTTATTGCAAGGTGGCAGTGTGAAGTAGGATTAGATTTTCCTTCCTTTTTTCCCTTAGCTGCCGAGTGGTTCATCATGGATGGATAGAGTAGTGGCAAGGGTACTGGCAAACATGATTGTGGTGGAGGTGTCGTGGCTGATGGCTGTTCCCAGAGAGGAGGAAGGAAATAGAGGGATGAAAGTTCCTACTGGGAGGTGAGTCCTGGGTTGGGGTGGTAGCATTCAGCCCTTAGATTCCAACTACTAAATCTAACCTAAACTAAACAGCCAGTTACTGCTGGTTTACTGACTGTTTATTGTTTACCTGTGCAATGTGCTCAGAACTCGGGAGGATATGGCACGCAGCCTGGACAGCTTTCTACCCTTAGAGCATAGGCTGTACATAGGGGAAAGACCCATTTTTAAAATAGAAGCAAAAATAATTGACAGATTTTTTGTTCTTTTTATTTATTTTGAGAAATTATACTATGCTAGATCCTTAAGTTGTATTTTTCTCTTTCTGTTAATTCTTTGAGAACTTGATACAATGTATTTTGTTATTTCAAGACAGGGTTTCTCTGTGTAACCTTGGCTGTCCTGGAACTCACTTTGTACTGAGTTTGAGGCTGACCTCAAACTCAGAGATCCACCTGCCTCTGCCTCCTGAATGTTAGGATTAAAGGTGTATACCACCACTGCCCAGCTGATAAAATTTACTTTGATCATTCTTCATCCCTAACTCCTGTCAGACTTCCTTATCCCTAACTACCTCCCTCCTTCCCCCACTTTTAAACTATCCCCTTGGTGTGAGGGCCATATGCTAGATCTTAATCTGTGTTTTGATATTGTAGCCTCAGAAAGTACTTTATTTTTAAAAAAATATTTATTTATTTATGTATGTATACAATATTCTGTCTGTGTGTATGTCTGCAGGCCAGAAGAGGGCACCAGACCTCATTACAGATGGTTGTGAGCCACCTGTGATTGCTGGGAATAGAACTCAGAACCTTTGGAAGAGCAGATAATGCTCTTAACCACTGAGCCATCTCTCCAGCCCCTCAGAAAGTACTTTAAATGCAACCCCCCCTCCCCAGGGTTTTATAATGTGTAGCGCTGGCTATCCTGAAACTCACTATGTACCAAGCTGACCTCAAACTCACAGAATTCTGCCTGCCTCTGCCTCCTGGTTGCTGGGATTAAAGGACTACAGGACCACTGCCCAGTTACATTTTGAAATACATGTTGGTATGTGTATACATACCTGTGTACCACAGCATTCATATGGAGGTCTGAGGACAACTCTCTGCAGTTAATTTTTTCTAGTCTTTAGGATCTGGGTATCAAACTTGGCAGCAGGTGCCCTTACTTGCTGAGCCATCTCACTGTCCAGAGATTATTCAGATTAAGCTATCTAGGCTCCTACATTAATTCAGAGGTAACCTAGTTAACTAGGGGACTAAAATGAGAAGATAGGATGGGGAAAATTATTTCTTTTTTTCAATATACATTATTTACATCATTCAGCTAATTACCAGGTTTTTGAGTCAGGTCCTTATTTAATGTAGGGATAGTAAACCATCAGGGGAAGACTTTTTTAACCCTTTGTTACTTTTTGCTCTGAATAGAGTGACATTCTCTATCAAAGTAGGTATCCCAGGAGCTGGAGAGATGGCTCAGTGGTTAAAAGTGTGTACTGTGTTTGTAGAGTTTAGTTGCCAACACGCATGTTGGGAGGCTCTCAACTGCCTGTAATTCCAGTTACAGGGGAATCTGATATCACTGACCTACAAGAGCATCTGCATCTGTGTGCACATATTCCTATACACACACACACAAATAAAAACAATTTAAAAAACAATTCTGCTACATTAATTCATTTATTTTCTTCTTATTTATTTATTTTTGAGGCAGGGTTTCTCTGCATAGCCCTGGCTGCCCTGGATCTGTAGACCAGGCTGGCCTTTGAACTCAGAGATCTGCCTGCCTCTGCCTCCTGAGTGGCTGGAATTAAAGGTGTGCACCACCGCTCTGACTCTACATACAAATTTGTATTGTTAAACATGGTTTGGCAACTTCTTACTGGTTTCTTTTTTTTTTAATTTTATTTATTGTGTGTGTGAATGTTTGTATGTATATATGTGGGCTGTGTATGTATATATCATGTGTGGAGGTCAGAGGAAATTTGTAGGAGTTAGTTCTTTCCTTCTCCCATGTGGATCCTGAGGACAGGAGGCATCCTTTCCTGCTGAGCCATCTTCCTGTCCCCACATTTTAGTATTTATTGAGTATGGATGTGCATGCATGCCATCGTGCATGTGGAGGTGAGAACAACTTGTCAGATTATGGGGTCAGTTCTTTGCCATGTGGGGTTGAGGGCGGGGAGTATTTCTCAGATGAGCCATCTTGTGTAGTTCTCTCCCCAACCCCACTTTGTGAGACAGGGTCTCACTGCTGACCTGGAACTCACTGTGTAGACTGAGCCTTGAACTCAGAATGATCTGCCTGCCTTTGCCTCCTAAGTGCTGGGCTTCTTAATAGCATTTCTGGAGATTTGGCTGTGGACAGGAAGGGGAAAAAATAAGGCCAAAGGGTAAGTGTAACTATTACTAGGTTGAGTTCTTGTTACAAAACACAGCATATCAGCAATTTCAGGAGAAGGGAAGAAACACTAGGAAATGAAAAATTACAAAATTTGATGTTTTTTTTGTTGTTGTTGTTCTTTTTTTTTTTTTTTTTTTCAAGGCAGGGTTTCACTGTGTAGCTTTTGGTTCCTGGAACTTGCTCTGTAGACCAGGCCTCGAACTCACAGAGATCCACCTGCCTCTTCCTCCCGAGTGCTGGGATTAAAGTTTGATGTTTTGATCTAAGAATGGGTGCAGTGTACATTGCCATCACGAAGAAGGCAGAAGGTATATTGAAGTCATAGCAAAGAATATGAATGGGAATGTTGGCCGCTTTGTATAGTTTCCATTCCAGAATTAGGGAGCATTTCACTGACTTTTTTTTTATACTTAATTATGCTATTCGTTTGGGTTAGTTACATAAGGAATGCAAAATTCCTGAATTTAAAATAGTGGCTTATTTATATAGGGTTAGACATATCCCAGGCTGGTCTTGAACTTCTCAAACTTCCTGTGTAATTGAGGATGACCTTGAATTTCTGATTTTCCTAGGCCACTTGCCCAGTACTGGGATTATAGGTGTGTACCCCTACACCTGCACCTGGTTTTCTTTTGTTTATTTTTGTCTTACGGTGTTGGGGATGGAACCAAGGGCCTGGTACATAAACATATTGAGCTCTCTTGTTGGTTTGAAGATGACCTTTCCTTTTTCCAGTGACTGTTCAGAGTTACTATACTTGTAGGTTTTCAGTTTGTTGGATACATACAAAAAAATGTTGGATTAACATTTTTCAGCAATTTAGGGGGACAGTATCAGTTTTTAATTCTTTTTGGACATCTTCTAAAATGCATTTCTTTGATCCTTCCTCATACTCCCAGCTACCTCCATGGTACTTCTTGTCTATGAGTTTGTTTTATGTGTCTCATAAAGCCAGAATTAAACAGTACTTGTCTGTTTTCTCTGGATTGTCTTACTTAGTGTCATGTCTTCAAGATCCCACGCTGTAGCATGGCATGATTCCCAAAACTTATGTTATTTTTAGACTTTGAAAACATGTTTCCTTTGTTCTTAGCTACCAAGATTTTCTCCCACCTTTGGTTTCTTCCTTGTTTTTAACTGAACTTTTATGCTCTCTTTTTTGTCTGTATAGTTTTATTAAATCTTCAATTTTTAATTTTAATTTAAAGGCAAGGTTCTAGATATGTAGCTTAAGTTGGCCTGGAACTCCTAAGTAACCTGAGCTGGCCTGGAACGTCCAGGCTTATCCACCGTGCCCAGTTGTTTTTGAGGTAGTTACCCTAAAATGTTTTGGTGAAATGACTGCTGAATCCTGGCTTCACTTAGGGTAGGAAATGAGCAAATATTATGAATTATTGCTCTTTTTTAAAAATCTATATAGAAAGCATTTGCCATTCGAGTTATTTGTTGTTTTTCCACAAATTAAGGCTTTATACCAAAAGTTTTGGTTAACATATGAAATATATCATTGATGTAAACCATTATAAATCTTATATTTGGTTTTTATTTCCTGACTAGAGACTCTACAGGAGCAGGTAACTCACTGGTCCACAAGCGGTCTCCTTTACGTCGAAACCAAAAGACCCCAGCATCCTTGAACAAGCTGTCTTTACAGGATGGACATAAAGCCAAAAAGCCAGCATGTAAATTTGAAGAGGGTCAGGATGTCCTAGCTAGGTGGTCAGATGGCTTGTTTTATCTTGGAACTATCAAAAAGGCAAGTTATCTTACTAGACCTCTGCTGTATTTGCAATAAACCTTTACATAATTTAAAATTTAATTCACACCTATAGTTTTAAGAGATACCTGAATTCTTTCTCTGTATTGCAGATAAACATATTGAAACAGAGCTGCTTCATCATATTTGAGGACAGTTCTAAATCCTGGGTTCTCTGGAAGGACATCCAAACAGGCAGGTGCTACTGTTCCTCTAGAACATGATATATACTGAAATTTAGCTTTCTTCAACATGGTATTTTCTGGGGCTAAAGAAATTGAATATAGTGTCTTCCTACTACTCAGTAGCGTGTATGAGGAGAAGTTTAAGAATTTATTAATATATAGGATTGTTTTCCTTGTTTATAAACAAAGCTCTCTACAGTTTAATTGAATTGTGTTGAGACAGGTTTCTCTGTGTAGCTTTGGAACCTGTCCTGGAACTCTCTGTGTAGATCAAGCTGGTCTTGAGCTCAGAGGTGAGCCTGCCTCTGCCTCCCGACTTCTGGGGTTAAAGATGCGTGCTGCTGCTGCCGAGCTTAGGAGGGTTTTAATACCCAGTATTAATTTTTGTTCTGTGAAATAATATAGTCCTGCATTGCTGTTTACACTGTAGATTTCTGTTTTGGCTATTTTTTCAACAGTTGCATTAAATGAATAAAAATGTACTCTATAATCTATTCAGCAGATCTCTTTCTATGAGTTTATTAATAAAATATAATTGAAAAAAATTGAAAAAGAAGCTAAGTAGAGTGAGTGGTGAGAGATGGCTCAGAGGTTAAGAACAGTGACTGATCTTCCTGAGGACCTAGGTTTGGTTTCCCAGCATCCACATGGCAGGTCACAACTCCAGGACCCAACACTTACACAGACATACATACAGGAAAACACCAATAAAATAATAAAAATGAAAAGATATTTTAAAAAAGAAACTAGGTGGCAGTGTTTGCTATAGCTTTATTTTTATATTTTTAATTAAAAATTGCATTTAAAAATAGAAAATAAAAAAAAGTGTGTACATTTGTGTGTGAATGTAGGTAGGTGACTGAAGAGGTCTGATGTGTCAGATAAGCTGGAGACGGAGCTACAGGGAGTTGTGAGCCCATAGGTGCTGGGGACTGGTCTCTGGTCAGCTACAAGAGCAATCCCAGCTTTTAACCCACGGAGCCATCTCCAGCCCTGATGTAGCTATTTTATTTTGATTTTTTTGAGACAGGATTTCTCTTTGTAGCTCTGGACTAGGCTGGTTTGGAACTCAGAGATTCACCTGTCTCTGCCTTCCGAGTGGAATTAAGAGTCTTCCATCACTGCCCTGCATTTTTTTCCCCAGACAGGGTCTCTTTACATACCCTCAACTGGCATGGAACTTGCTGTATTGAGTAGGTTGGTTTTGAACTCAAGAAAAAGTAGAGTTGGCTCTGCCCCCTGAGTGTTAGGATTAAAACTGTTTGCCACTATGCTTTTATAAGGAGACTTTTCTAGCTTTAGTTAAGCAAATATATGATAGCTATTTTTAAGATTTATTATTTATTCATGTATGTGTGTAAGGGGTTATGTGTGGAGGTCAGAAGAATGTGTTGGACATTGTCCTCTCTCACTTTCTACCTATTCATTTGAGGCAAAGTCTCTCCCTAAGCCTCACTGACGTTAAAAGCCAGCAAGTCCCAGTGATTCTCCTGTCTCTGCACATATCATCCCCATCTGAGCTGGGTTTACAAGTGTTTGTAGGAATGCTATGGTTGCTGGGATCTGGACTCACACTTGTGGTTGAGGAGCAAGTATTCTTAACCACAGAGCCATCTCCTGCCCAGCATTTTGGCATTACTAAGACGAAAAAGCTAAGACTTTGTAGATGCCTTAATTTGTAGTAAGGAAGACCATGGGCAATTAAGCTAGATCAGGAATCATGTAAATTTTGTAGTAAAAAAGGTATTCTTGGATTTCACAACTATAATTCCCAGTTTTCTTAGGTTTGTTTCTTGAGGTGAATGCATACAGTTTTTTGGATTAATAACTCCTTTTCTGCAGAATTGCTTTCTTCTTCACCATGTAGATATAGTGGGAGTCATCTACTCCTGGCTGGGGCTATGCAGCCTTTTCTTGTGAAACAACACATTTAGCATGAGAAGCTAAGCTCAGATTGACTACTCTCTAATTATAGCCATAAACCCAGGAGTTATTGAACAAGTCCCACTAGGTGTACCAGGAAATTTGGAAGGGACAGAAGACCTAAATAAACAGTCAGTAGTACAAAAGCAGGCAAAATAATAATTGGTACCTTCTGTGTTACCTATGTGATATACATTAAGAGGTAATACAGCAGATTTGTTTTTTTTCCACTAGATGGAATGTTATGCAGTTATTCGAAGTTATAGTTTTGAACACAGGCTGTGTGAAAGTGCTTTGGTAGAAGAAATAGTGTTTGGTGGAGAGACCATGGCTTCTGGCACATCTGGGTTTGAAGCCTAGCAGTAGTGCTTTCTAACTGAGGGTACACGGGCAGTTCCTCCATCTGCTTGACCATCACTTCTCTATGCACTCAGATCTGTAAAGCTAGCGCTTCATAGACAGATGACCCTCCTACATCAAGACTGACACTGAGATAATGTGACGAGTTCAGGGCAAACCCCTGGGCAGCAGAGTAAGTTCCAGGGCAGTTTGAGATTCATAGTAGGATCTTGTCTCAAGAAGAGTGCTGAGATTAAAGGTGTATGCAACAATACCTGGCTTTGAAATGTCTTGTGTAGGCCAGGCTGGACTCAGTGTCCCTTGAGTGCTGGACTTAAAGTTGTGTACCTTCATTGCCCTTTTTCTTTTTTTAAAAAAACAAAAATATTAAGGTGTGTGGTGGTGGTGCATGTCTTTGCAGAGGCAAGCTGATCTCTTGAGTTTCAGACCAGCCTGGTCTACAGAGCAAATTCCAGCATAGTCAGGGCTGCACAGAAAAACCAAACCATGTTTCAAAAAAAAAAAAAAAAAAAAAAAAAAAAAAGAATAAAGAGTAATTTCTTAGGTGACCCATAGAATTAACTGGCACTTCCAATTTTTGTTGTAGAATTCTCTTCGGGTACATTATTAGACATTTTATTTCTAGGTTTCAGCCATGAAATCCTTGCTATACAGCCTCTTTCATAATTAGTGAATACAAAGAACTGTCTTAAGTCCAGAAAGGGAGCACATAACTTCCTTGCCTATTTCCTGTAATCTTATGATGCTAATGTCTAACATGAGTGAAGACGTGAACCCGAGTCGGTGTGTGTTCTGCAGAAAACTTCCCAGTGTTAATAAATCTCCCTCAGTATCTTAGTTTGGGTTCTATTGCTGTGAAGAGACACCATGACCATGGCAACTCTTATAAAAGAAAGCATTTAATTGGGGCTGGCTTATAGTTCTGAAGTTTATTGCCATGGTAGGAAGCCCAATGGTTACACTGAGTCATAAAAGTTCTGTGGAATTCTTCATGACTGTTTAATGTTGCTTTACATATTTCAGGAGCCACTGGGAGTGGGGAAATGGTCTGTACAATATGTCAAGAAGAGTATTCAGAAGCTCCCAATGAAATGGTTATATGTGATAAGTGTGGTCAAGGTAAACATTCATTCTTCTTGGTTTTGTATAAGTGTTACTAAATCCAAGTGAATCCATTGAAGACGAAAGATTGTCAGTACTTGTCTTGCTACTTTGAAACTTTATTGTAAGATCTATTTATCTTTTATAATGGAGGGAATGTCAAATCTAGAACTAAAATATCGTCTTGAAATTCTATTCTGCAGTGCTTGTTAATAAAATAGAATTTGCTCTGTGCTTTTTTGATATCAAGGGTATCATCAGTTGTGTCACACACCTCACATTGATTCGAGTGTGATTGACTCAGATGAGAAATGGCTCTGTCGGCAGTGTGTTTTTGCAACAACAACAAAGGTATCTTTTAAAAGTCTTTCGGGTTAAAGCCCTATGGAATTTGTAAGGCATTGTTTTTGACTGTGTACATTGAAAAGTTGGTTCTGAATGAAATTAGCAGCCAATGCTGGTTAAAAAGAATTATTGTTTACTAATGATCCTTAAATGGTTTATGGTTATTTTTGTACTTTCTGATAGTGGTGTGGGGATTGGGACAATAAATTGAAAGAAGACAACAAAATAATTGTATTATTAATAACAAATCAGACAATGTGATATTATAGAAATATCAGAATGGATATTATTTCTGTAGTGCCAGGAATTTTAAATTACAGAATTATAAATTAGAAAATTTGGTTAAAAAAATTTGACCTTCACTTTTTCAAATGTTTCCCTCTAATATATAGAGGGGTGGTGCGCTTAAGAAAGGACCAAATGCCAAAGCATTGCAAGTCATGAAGCAGACATTGCCCTATAGTGTGGCAGACCTTGAATGGGATGCAGGTCATAAAACCAATGTCCAGCAGTGTTACTGCTATTGTGGAGGCCCTGGAGAGTAAGTAAACAGTTATCTAATGTCCTTTGAAGTCATTTTTACTAACGTATAACCTTCTTTTTCTTTTTAATTTTTTTTTTTTTAATGAAGACCTCTTTGTTGGTTTGAGACCCCGTCTCTCTGTATATACTTCCAAATTGGCCTCACATTCTTAAGGCCTTTTCAAGAGCACCAGGGTTACCGGGGCTCACTACCATGCTTGTTTGTCTTATTATTGCTGAGTGTGGTGTAGCAGTCATAGTGAGTTGCGGATGTATGAAGAATCAGTTCAAATAAAACCTCCAGGGAAATGCCGTTACTGTTTCTCTTCGTTTCTCTTCTTTCCCATCCTCTTCTTCCTCTCCCCTCCCTCATCTTTTTCCTTATGCCAGATGTGTCATTAAAATAAATTATAGAGGAAAATGTGTGCTGTGGAGGCCACTTTGCCACACTGGAGTGTGAAGCTGTCTCAGTTCATTTGATGTCATGTTTAGTGTGATTACGCATTTGAAAATTGGTATATACTTAATATTATTTGAATGAGTAATTAAGAGACAGGTTTTAATTAAGTGATAGAGTCCCAGGTGAGGCTTTTTCAGACACTGATTAGACTGTATATATTACTAGTGTTTCCTAAATATTAGTTCCTTTGTATATACATCAATATGTAATTTTCAGAAGAAACTGTCAAGTAATTTTTCTAAGTATTTTACTAACAAAGTATACTGTTCAGGAACTAGAGAGCTATATTGGATGTCTTATGTTTATTATTTTATTAAGATTTTATGTTATGTATATGTAGGTTTATTTGTGTGTGGATAATGTGCACATGAGCGCAGTACCTACAGAGCCCAGAGAGGACCTGAGTTGAGTTCTCAGCAACCACACTGGGTGACTCACAACCAACCACCTTTAACTCTAGTTTCAGGGCATCAGTCACCCTTTTCTGGGCTTTGTGGGCAACTGTACTGAACATGCATATACCCTTTATAGGCACATAAATAAAAAATAGAGACGGGAGGGGCAATGGTGACACACGTCTTTAATCCCAGCACTTGGGAGATGTGGCAGGCAGATCTCTGTGAGTTCAGGGCCAGCCTGGTCTACAGAGTGAGTTCTAGAACAGCCAGGGCTACACAGAGAAATCCTCTATCGAAAAATAAAAAAATAAGGACTGCAGAAATGGCTGGATGACTTAAGAGGATTTTCTAGTTTTGCAGCTACAGAGGACCTGGGTTAATTCCTAGCACCCACTGGCACCTCACAACTACTTATGACTCCAGTTCTGGGGAGAGTGGCGCCCTTTTCTGGCCTTTGCGAAGCTCTCCATGCACTTGATGCATACACAGAAAAGCAGTCTACACATAAACTCATAGCAGGCCTGGGGGCACACGTCTGTAGTTGTGGTTACTCAGGAGGCTGAAGAAGGGGATTGCTTTAGTACCGTCCTAATGCTGTGACCCTTTAACACGTTTTCTCATGTTATGGTAACCCCCAGCCATAAGTTTATTTTTGTGCCACTTCACAACCTAATTTTGGTACCATTATGAATTGTTTTCTGAATTATGAAATCTGAATTATGAATCTGTGTTTTCTGATGGTCTAGAAGTTTGGAGCTCATCTGTGCAGCAGTAGGAGCCCACCTTTAGGAAAGCTTTTATACAGCTGGGTGTGGTTGTGAGCAGAGGTCAAGGTCAACCTCAGAATGACACTCAAAAAAATGAAAGAGACCTGAGGATGTAACTCAGCTGTAGTAGCCTGTGTAGCAGGCTTGAAGTCCTAGATTTGACCCCTAGCACTTCATGAATTGGATGAAGGGGTAGTATAGTTCATCTCAGTACTAAGGAGATATGAGTAACCCAGTTTTGACCTCATCTTTAATTTTGAGGCTAGTGAGACTCTGTCGCTAAAAAACAAAACTTAAAGGAAAACAATCAAAATAAAAAGAGCTATCTGGGTGTGTAGCTCATTGGTAGATTGTGTAACGACCTGTTTAGATCTCACTACAAAAAGCAAAACCCTCTGAATCTTGTGATCTGAGAGAAATCAAAGACATTATTGACTGGAAATATTAGTTTTGCTTAAAGAGCACATAAATTCCCATATAGAAGAGGGAGGGGTGGAGCCAGGCGGTGGTGGCGCAGGCCTTTAATCTCTGAGTTTGAGGCCAGCCTTCCTTGTCTGCAGAGTGAGTTCCAGGACCATCCTCCAAAGCTACAAGAGAAAGACCAAACCAGAAAAAAAGGAAAAAAAAAAAAAAAAGAGGAAGAGGAAGGATGAAATAATTAATAGTACAAACATTTTTGAAGGATGGAATAATTAATAGTACAAACATTTTTTGGAGAAAAAATTAGTATGAAGTATAGCAGAAGTATAATACTTTTGTCAGAACTATATTGGTTATTATATAATGTAGGTTTTTTTTTTTTTTTCAAAAAGAACACTCGCTTCATTAATAAGTAGTAATTTAGCTAGCAATGGTGGTGCACAATTGTAATCTCAGCACTGGTGAGGTCAGGAGGATTGTGAGTTGGAGGCCAATCTTGAACTATATAGTAGGATATTGTTTTAAAAAGTATTAATTTAAACTCTTTTTTTTCTTTTTGGTAGCTGGTATTTAAAGATGCTGCAGTGTTGCAAATGTAAGCAGTGGTTTCATGAGGCTTGTGTACAATGCCTTCAAAAGCCAATGCTATTTGGAGATAGGTGAGAAGAACATTTGCATTTCAATGATTGGTTTGTCGTGGATGCTTTGTAATTGTGGTTATTTTGCAGCTTCAGGTTTCTAAAATAATTATGACAGTGATGTGTAACGGAATCAACTCAGAGGGAAAATACTAAATAGTAAACATGCTTTGTATATACTTTCAATGCTTTTGACTGTTACTCCAGGAAGCTTTGAACTATTGTCTCAGAGAGCACATTTGTTTCTGTCACTTCATAGGTCTCTAAATGTTCTTGTTGGGAGCTTTCTTCAAGAGTCTTGAAGGAATACTCTGATTTAGAATTGGGAAATGCTATAGGATCCTGTTAAAAACAATTTGTATATCAAGTTTTAAAACTTGTGAAAGCAGATAAATTGTACTTTCCATGTGAGAATATTAGGGAAGAGACAATGAGATCTGTAAATCAAGATTGTTCTTTTGTTTCCTTTCTACCCAGACCCGAATAATCACACACATACTATATTAATTACAACACTGTTTGGCCAACTGCTGAGACATATTCCTAGCTAGCGCTTGCATCTTAAATTATCACATTGTTACTTTACATGTTGTTTCTTGGGCAGCTACATGGCGACTGCCTGACTCCACGTTCTTTTTCCCTGTATTTAGTTTAGTTTTCCTGCCCAGCTATATTCTGCCTTGCCATAGGCCAAAGCAGCTTATTAACCACTGGTAATAAAACATACTCATGTCATACAGTGGGGACTCCCACATCAGAGTTGTAGGAAGAAAAATTAAGACAGATCAGTAAAGCTGGCTTACTTATCTCTCTTGAAGTAAATCTTGGTTTAAATCTAGATGTATATAATTACTGTCTTTTTGACCTTGGTCTCGTCTGCTTTTGAGTTTATTTTACAGGTAATTTGAACTTTGGTGAAATAATGCTTATAGAAGTAGCCATCACAGATCTTGGCACACATAGGCTATTAGTGTGAATACTGGTGAATCTGTGTCAACTTAGAATTCTCTAATGGTTAAAGAAGTTTTCCCTTACCTCCAGATAGGAGTTTTAACCATTGTTGTTGTTAGTGTCATAACTGAAACTGCATTTTGATTTGTGTACCAGTTCCTTACATTTGAAGCCTTATATAATTTGCTGAATACTGGCTGTAATTGTTAACTAGTTTATATTTAGCTTTGAATACTCAGTTTAAAACTTTTTTTTTTTTTTTTCCAATTTTTAGGTTTTATACATTTATTTGCTCTGTCTGCAGTTCTGGACCAGAATACCTCAAACGTCTACCATTACAGTGGTAAGCATGGACTTTTCTATGTTTTTAGGAAGTGCCAGACCATATAAAAACTTTTATATGAAAAGTAAATAAAATTTTGTTCTCTATACCTGGCTTTTATTTCTTTTTGTAATCCTCTAGGCTTATGCCATCTTCATCAGGATTATCCATTTTGTTGTTAACGTTAATAAGAGTTCATTATGGAAAGGTGTTGGCGCTTTCAGTTTAGGGTCTTTGTGGTTTTGGCTTCTCATGCCTTCAGAGTATCACAGAGAAGCAGATAAAATAATATAACAGTTTCTGCTTTGATGTAGTAATTTTTTACGGTAAGTGAGGGATTTTAGAGATCTAATAAAATGTGTATGCTGAGATTGTACAAATTTTTATTGTGCTTTACATACTTAAGAGCGGGTGGTGGCTTAACTCATGCAGATGGCACACGGCCCAGCAATGTACAGTGTGCCTTTAGTGAGAACACAGTGATGTTAGTCAGCAGTCATTTTCTCCTGTAGCCACACTTTTACTTTTTTTGGTTTTATGAGACTGTGTTTCTCTGGGTAGTCCTGGCTATCCTGGAACTTGCTCTGTAGACCACACTAGCTCTGAACTCAGAGATCTTCCTTCCTTTTGTTCCTGAGACTGGGATTAAAGGCATGCACCACCACCGCCTGGTGTCAGATATTTTTTTAAATTCATTTAGGAAGTAATTTGGGTACATCTTAGTTTATAATTATTCCACATTAGTTAAGCTAGTGTTTTCTAGTTCTTCCTATGTAATAGTTTATTGTATTGTGATTTAGGTTATTGACTGCCTATCCACCTAAGTATATCACTTTGGTTTTATTATAGTAGTTTTATATACTGGTTTCATTAAAAACTGACTTTTTAAGATAATAAAAAACACTTTCATATATTTTAATTAATTTTGGATTTCAGGGTAGATATAGCACACCTATGCCTTTACAACCTAAGTGTTATTCACAAGAAGAAATACTTTGACTCTGAACTTGAGCTTATGACATACATTAATGAAAACTGGGACAGATTGCACCCTGGAGAGGTAGGTGGTCTTGGAACTGCTCGATGGTTAAAAATAAAGGAGACACATGAACAAGTCAGACAATTAAAGTTTAAAGTTTTCTTTTTTTTTTTAGTTTTTTGAAATAACTTTGGTAATGATATCACAACTAGCCCTCTTATTGTCTTATGTTCCTTGCCTTGGGAAATTGAACACATGGTGGAAATAAGTTATTTACTTCTTCGATATACTGAAGTAAGAATCATTGTAGTTAAAAATAGAACTGTTAGAAAAATTCTTTGTATTAGGTGCCTTATGTATAATTTTGCTTTCTTTTTCAGTTTTCTATAGAAAATCTTAGAGAAGTAACCAGTGTTCGTTTCCTCTTACATATCTCTAATGTCTAGGAATGTTGGGATCCTGTCAGTAGTAGAATAATCAGTTACAAACTGACTTCTGATGTCTCCTGTGCTGGTTTTAAAAAGAGCTTTTGAGAAAGGAACATAGAAGTGGATGTGGTGTAGCGCACCTGTGACCCTAGCGGAGAGACTGAAGCTGGAGTGTTGCTGCACAGTGAGGGCTGTCCCAACAAGACAGAGCAAGGGGCTGGGCAGAGGGTGTTCCCGGATAGCCAAGACTACACAGAGAAACCTTGCCTGGAAAATCCCAAACAAACTAATAAACAAATAAATAATGTAAAGTGAAGTGTAGTGTGATCTAGGCATGTGGTTGCACACCTACAATCTAAGAACTCAGGTTGCTGATGCAGGAGGATCATAATTTCACAAGGCCATTTTGGGCATATATATCTCAAAAACAAGCCAACAAATCTCTGAGTTCCAGGGCAGTTTGGTCTACAGAGCGAGTTCCAGAACATTCAGGCCCTGTCTCAAAAACAAACAAACAAACAAACAAAAAGAAACAAAAATAAACAAACAAATAAATGAAAGAGAAATGCAGTTGCATGTTGGTAAAATTCTTGTTTCTCCTTTCAGTCAGGTGGAACACCTAGCTCATAACATAAGCAGTCCAATTCAATACCATCATAGTTGCACTTCAGAAAGTTAAAGGTTTCAGAAATAGGAGGTCAGGTTTGTTGGTGGTTGTCAGTAAACTAGGAAGTTGATATTTTTTTTTCCCCCCTCTCTGTATGACAGTTCTGGCTGTCCTGAAACTTACTCTGTAGACCAGACTGGCCTCGAACTCAGAGATGTGTCTGCCTCTGCCTCCCAAGTGCTGGGATTAAAGGTGTGCACCACCACTGCTTGGCAATGGTTGATATTTTATATACGTTAATTTCCAAGTTTCATAGTATAATAAAAACCCTTGGGGTATAAATATTCAAATACTGTTCTTTCAGATATGCAACACTGCTTTATCAAATGTTATAGACCTGATATGGACAAATTATAAATAAGATTGAAATTCAAACTAATTAAAGTAAAAGTTAAGTGGATTTGTCACTGACTTGAAAAACAGTAAGAGAACTATTTTGGAAATCTTGATGGAACTTGTAAAAGAGGGCCAAAGTTCTGTCTTTGTTTTTGGAAAGGATGGCAGGATCAAGAGAAAATATCTGCAGATTTGAGCTGAAAACAGAAATTGGCACACAGCTTTGATGATAGCATTTGGGAGGCAAAGGCTGGCAGAATACTGGTGTAAAAGGAGCTGTGGGCTGCATTCCTGCCACCCAGCTCCCGGCCACCTGGCTAGCTTATGTCCCAAAATAATTACACGGAAACTGTATTCTTTTAAACACTGCTTGGCCCATTAGTTTCTAGCCTCTTAATGGCTAATTCTCACATCTTGCCTAAGCCATATTTAGTAATCTGTGTAGCACCAGTCTTACCCGGAAAGATTCAGCATGTCTGATCTGGCGGCTTGCTTCATCGCATCTGCCTTGGAGACCAGCGTCTGTCTGAGGTGTTTTACCTCACTTCTTCTTCTTCCCAGCATTCTTTTCTGTTTACTCCACCCACCTATGTTTTAACCTATCAGGGCCAAGCAGTTTCTTTATTAATTAACCAATGACCTTCCTCCATCATACTGGGAGTTGAATTTCAGCCTGCTTTACATAGAGAGTTCTAGGCCAGCCAGGTCTGCATAGTGAATTTTTACCTCCAATAAAATAAAATAAAAATAAAGCCTGGCCTGGTGTTGTAGTCCTATAACCCCACCTACTCCAAAGGCTATTGCAGTAGGGTCACAAGTTCAAAGCCAGCCAAGTCAATTTGGTGAGTCTGTCTCAAAGGTCCGCTGAATATGGTTGTACACACCTATTGTTACAAATTTGGGACCAATTGAGCTATAAAGTAAAACCCTGTCTTTCCCTACCCTCCAAATTTAAAAAAAAAAAGCATATACTACTATGCCCTGCTTTTTGCTGTTAAATTTAAGCACAATAGTGTGTGTGTGTGTGTGTGTGTGTGTGTGTGTGTGTCTGTCTGTCAGATAAAAGCTCATCTGATACGATTTTAGGGGATAAGTAGATGGAATTAGTCAGATGGTTTATATGAGGAAATCACATGAGACCATTAGAAACTTGATCTCAAACATATATGAATGCTGCTTCAGATGTTTGTAGAGCTAATGCTTATGAAATGGGGTTCAGTAAGTGATTTAGCTTTTTCCACTATTAATGTTGATGAATAACTGGGTCTCTTTACAAGAGACTGTGGTCTTGATGAAAGATTGAATTATTTCTAGGGCTTATTTTCTTGCAAACTTCAAAGTCTGTTTATTTCATTCTTCCTTAAATAGAAATTCTGGATCTGAGAGTGTACTTCAGAGGGTCAAGCATGTGCTGTTTTTTCTTTTTTAATTTTTTTATTTTATTTTGAGACAAGGTCTTGGTCTCTCTCTTTCCCTCTCTCCCTGTCTCTCTCTCTCTTTCTCTTTTCCTCTCTCTCCCTCCCTCCCTCTCTCTCTCTTCCCTCCCTTGAACTCAAAAACACCTACCAACCTCTCTACCCTCCTGATTGCTGGGATTAAAAGTGTGCACCACCAAACCCTGTGAACATGTGTTTTTGATATGTGAGAGCCTATTTTCAGTCCTCAAAACTTGTTATTGGGTGTCTCATATTGGGAGGACAGTCAGACAGGGAGGAACGTGTAATGTACCACTTGAGTTCAGGTTCTGGTGGTCTTTTTATCTAGGAGAATTTAAGCGGTTCATTTCACTTTTGTATGGCCTGTGAACTCTGAGGTGCTTGGCGGTTAGAATATCCATATAAGATTTATCTTTTGAATATGATTGGCTTATTCACCTAAGCTTTCCTAGTAGTACCATACTAATATAAAAGTTAAACAGACATCTCACCAAATGGGGAGCAGTCAGACAGGCAGAAAATGCTGTACAGAGTTCCACTGGGGAATCTTCTCCGATGAGGAAGCTTTGTGGACTTGAACCACATTCATTGTGAAGTCTTTCAGCTGTGACAGACTGGGAGGATGGTGCTGGTGGAGGTCCAGATGGGCCTTGAGAGCATCACCTAGGATCTAATGCTGACCGGTTGGCATGTGTGAGCTCCACAGTGCTGGTTCAGTGAGTCCTCTTGCCAAAGGTATCAGTGTAGAGGCTTGAGAACCGCACCTCAGGAGCATTGCAGTGCAGTCCTAGTGGCCATTTAAAAAAGGGTCCTGGGCTGGAGAGATGGCTCAGAGGTTAAGAGCATTGACTGCTCTTCCAAAGGTCCTGAGTTCAATTCCCAGCAACCACATGGTGGCTCACAACCATCTGTAATGGGGTCTGGTGCCCTCTAATGGCCTGCAGACATACACAAAGACAGAATATTGTATACATAATAAATAAATAAATATTTAAAAAAAATAAAAAAGGGTCCTGTCTTCCCTTCCCTCACCTAAGTTTTCTCTGTGTAACAGCTCTGGCTGTCCTCAGCTCTGTAGACCCGGCTGGCCTTGAACTCAGAGATCATCTGTTTGCTTCCCAAGTGCTGGGATGTTTTTATTGTTCATTGGACTAGCTTTGTGCTTCTTTTAGAGATTTATTTAGAGATTATGTGTAACATTAGAGGTGTTATTTCCCTAGGTCATATATATACAGAACTAATATATCAGTTCTTTAATGTTTATAATGTGCAGTTGCTTCACAAATACATTTTATTTCATGTAACAAACTAACAAAATTAGTATAAAATTTAGACATTTCTCCTGTAACTTAGAAAATAAATCTTGAGAGGTTAAATGGTACTAGGTAGGTCACATAGTGTCAGTGAAGACCCAGAATAGACTTTAGGTCTTTTGAACACAAGTTAGTACACTTTTCTTTGCATCCTATAGCTTTGTATATTAATAATGAAAGAAATTATGGTATGCTAAATTGTTTCTTGATACTTTGCAGCTGGCAGACACACCCAAATCTGAAAGATATGAGCATGTTCTGGAGGCATTAAATGATTACAAGACCATGTAAGTGGATTTATTTTACATATCCCTCTGAGGGAGATAGTGAGTATAAAGAATTTGATATTGGTGTATGGAAAAAGCACGTACAATTTTAAATGTTTTAATGTCTTAGTCTCTCTTGGTCATAGTAAGGCAGGGATTCTAGGAGGCTGGGAAGGAAAGAGTAATACTTCTGAGACGGGGTGTTTGGGAGGCATCTCAATATCCGTTACTCTGTTTCCTGAAGAAGCATTTTCAGTAATAACTTATGCTGTGATGCAGAATGATGAAGATAAGGTAAAATCTTGTTAGCTGGTGGGAATGTGCAAAAAAGGAGGGTCTTTTAAGATTGGTTATTGCCATTAGTCAGTTCCTGAGGAGTAATAGTGTTGGTCTGCGTGATGAGTCAGTGATCAGAACTTATGTTCTTGCATAGACCACCCTTTACAACCAGCATGTCTGCATTTCTTGAAAATATCTTCAAAATCCCAAAGAAATTTATATAAATACATGTATGCAACTCTCAGACGTACTATTAAAATTGTACTATAAAATTTTTGGTTTTCCCAAGTTGCTGTTTTGAACTTGACAATATTTTCTTATTAGGTAATTTTAATTACTTTTAACTAGATCTTTGAATTAGCTTGAAAAACGGTAAGGTAATAATTGAGTAGCTAATTGTACTGATAAAATATTGTTTGAATCAGTTCTTAATCCCATCTTAAAATATCAGAAATACACCTGTTACTGATAATGGTAGGAACGAGAGCTGCACATTCTCAAAGGTGCATACAATGGAAGAACATTTCGAACAGCTGAGGTAGAGGTGTTTATGGCCAGGAAGACTCTAGCAGAGTTAGGTATAAGAAAATGTTTGTGAGTGAACATAGGCCAGGGAGAGTGTGTACTCACACCTTTAGGGTCTAAATTGCTTTCAACTCCATGTCTGACCTCTGTCTACTCTTTCTAAAAGTTATTTCTGGTCAGATTTTATGTACTACAAATACATTCTGAAATAGAATTTATTGGAATCAAATACTTGCTTTGTGAAGTAACTTATTTAATTTTTAATTTGAGACAGGTTGTTACTGATGTATGCTCAGGCTCGCCCATGTCCTGGGTTCATTCAGAGCCAGAAGCCCTGGGGAGGTAGAGACAGGAGAATCATGGATTCAAGGCCAGTTCACCTTCATAATGAGATACTGTTTCATAACACTAGTGACCATATAAACCTGAATTCAAATGTTTCCCTTGTACTGGGACTGTAACTGTCTATCATCACACCTAATACAGAAGCCATATTTGGAAGAAGTTGAACTTGGAACTTTCTCTATTTTTGTCTTATCCCTTCCACCTGATAGCCTGAAGCCTGTAGATAAGAATCAGAGACACCAAAGGGAAAATGCTTTTGTGGTATGGGTAGCTTTTCATGTATAAGGGCCTAATTTGAAAGTTGTAAGTTAGGGTCTTCCATGTAAATGTACAGCTTATAAAATTTTAGTTAATTTTTTTAAAAATAGGTTTATGTCTGGGAAAGAAATAAAGAAGAAGAAGCATTTGTTTGGGTTGCGAATTCGTGTTCCTCCTGTGCCACCAAATGTGGCTTTCAAAGCAGAGAAAGAACCTGAAGGAACATCCCATGAATTTAAAATTAAAGGCAGAAAAGCATCCAAACCTATGTGTGATTCAAGGTAAAAGTTGATCTGTGATGTAGTTTTTCTTTCAGCTTATCATTTGTAACTGATGATGTGTGTTATGTGGTCGCATTAGAACATATTAGAGTGCCACAGACCTGGGTAATCTCCAACTCCAAACCCAGTCTATAATTTCCTTCGTAGGCAAGGTGAGAAAATGTGCTAGATTTTTATTTATTTTAGGCCTTTGGCATTCAAGGAATAGACAGTTGATTTAAAAAAATAACTTAAAATATTTACATCTTCACTTGTTGTTGATTTAATTTTTATTCGTTCATTCAGCACTTTTGTCAGATGCCTTCCTTTCTCAGTGCTGTGGAGATAATGACCAGACAGAGTTTTCCCTTGTGCTTAATGGATTGCGTTATAGTGAGAGAAATATGTAATAAACATGTAAAATAATTGATGATCATTTTGATGCCATTTAGAATTAATTCAGTGTTTTAGACCCCACTGGGTCAACAGAGATGAGAACATTGTTCTTAAAGGGGAGGCTTAAGGAAGGGCTATGTAAGGTGATCTTGGAGAATCAATTTAGAGTAATTTAAAGACTGAAGAATAAAGGGACAGAGAATACTCCAGGGTGCAGGAGTACAGGTGGGGAGGCTATGAGACATAGTCTAGTTGTCAACAGAAAACTAATTTGGTATGAATGGGAACTAGAGAGTAAGGATTGGCTATTTGAAAGATTGGGTGGGTCTTGGATCACATAGCAGCTCGTAGGTAGGGATCCCCTGTTCCCTCCAAACAATGGTAGCCATTTAAATGGTGTAAGCAGATTTAATTACCCTTTAAAAAATTATTTGGAGAATAGTTGAGCGGTTAGAATAGAGGTAGGAAAAGAAAGAGACTTGGTTTTGTCCAGATGAGATGCTTGCTTGGGCAGGAGTGGGTGGGAGCAGTTAAGTGGAGTGAATAGGTTTGAGATCTCTTTTCAGGAGAAGAACTGAGATCAGATTTGCTATTAAACTAAATTTATGAGTGAAAGGGGGGAAGGATAAGTTAATAGATTCGAAATTTATGGTTTGAGCAACTCATGGATGCTGGTTTCTTACCGAGGATAAGGAGGAAAGTGATGGTGAGGTGGGTGGAGCATCTCCTGGTTCTTCTGTCCTCACAGCGCATCTGAATAGTTCCATGGAGGCGACTTCTGTTTGTACGTGAGCAGCGCAGGTCAGGTCAGGACTGACTTTAAAGGTAGGAGAACGAATAAAATGACGTAGGGAGTAAGCAGAGAAGAGAATGGTTCTTCAGGTGGTGTCTGGACTTGGAATTATAAAGTGGAAGGCATGAAATAAACAGGGATGAGAGCGGCACCACCGGCATGGGAGGAGGAGACCAGGAGCCTTTGGTGTTAGGAGCCAGTAATGGTGGATAAATTAAATGGCATTGGAAGCTAGTAAAATGTTTACTGGACGCTGTAACATTTTGTTATTGGTGACCTTGACAAAAGTCGTTTATTTAGAGTAGTAAAGATTGGAATGAGTTGAAGTATGACTATCTGCACTTCCTGATTTATGTACAAAAATATGCTTCTTCTGCATGTCAGGGTTACTAACATATTCAGAATAATAATGAAGATAATAAAGAGAAAAGTGCATAGAAGAATCCTGAATGAGGCAGAAAAGAGTGGAGAGGAAAATGTCATCAAAGCTGAGAAGTTTGACTGTAAAGTGAAGACAGAATGATAGTAGAACATGGCAGCAATTTTAGTAGTTGGGAAGTAATTGGAATCTGTTTTTGTGTCCTAAGAATGACTCAGTGTCTAAGAAAGTTGAGTGTAGGAGAGAGTGAAGCTAACCTCTATTGCCTTGGTCTGAGAATAGCTTTTGATAGCAGAGGACACATCTGAATATAGATATGACTGTAGAAGTGAGTCTTATTTTCTCAAGGGAGTGTGAAGTGAAAGGGCTGTATGCAGAGGGAAATTTAGAGAGAGAACAAGTTTGGAGTAGTTATGCTGCAGAGTAAGAAATATGTTTATAAAACACTGACTACCTTAGCCATTTGAAGGTTTTAGTAGAATACATACAACTGAATGGTTTCGTTTGAAAAAGAAATGCTTATTTCTACCATTATCCAATTTGATATAGTCCTTTATATCAGTTGCTATCATAAATTAGAAAAAAAGAATCCCACAAACATCACATTCTATGATGATGTTAAGGAGGATGCTTCGTGTGGTAGCTCTCGGATTGATTGATGCTACTGAGAAGGACTCCCGCTTCCTCCTGGTCCTCTTGGCTGTGTGTGTCACCACTGCTATATGTTACATTCTCTTCTCCTCAACATTTTTGACTTCTAGGCCCACTTCTCTGTCCTCCTACGTCATCCTTCCGCTTGCTTCCACTTTGGGTTTTTACTGGTTTTATCTTATTTCTACTCTACGTTAGTAGTGTTGCTTTTCCTCACGATCCTTTATCTTACTAGCCTTCTTGTTTATGTGGGAATGTCTGATGGAAGCCCTTCAGCGCACAGGAAGCACCTTTGTAGCCCTCCTATCTTTCTGTAGCAGCTATTCTTCATCAAGTCTGTATTCTGCATGTTCTCTTCTTTTAGAGATACCCTTGACTATTGAACTTTTTCCTTTGGTATTGCTTAGTACTTAGCTTTATTTTCTTGTTTGCTGTTTAACCTATCAGTAGCTGTGTCCAGTATGGGAGATTTCTTATTTCTCCTTTATGTTCTGCTGTCTTGGGCTTGATCCTGTTTCTGACCATGTCACTCAAGGGTATATATATATGTGTGTGTGTACATACATATATATACATATATACACACACACACGAGATATTGTGTACATGACTATATATTTAAAGAGAAATTGGTGATACTGAAATTTTAATATAGGTATTTTCATTAGATTAACTAATTTTGTAGTCATTTTTTGTTGTAAAATTTTAAAGTCTCCTCCAAGTAGTAAGAAACTAAAGTTTTAAAATTCAGCTGGTGGCATACGCCTTTAATCCCAAACTGGGCCACGGCCGGTGAATCCCTGTGAGTTCGAGGACAGCCTGGTCTACAAGAGCTAGTTCCAGGACAGGCTCCAAAGCTACAAAGAGAAACCCTGTCTCTAAAAACAAAAAACAAAAATAATAATAAAATTCAGCTGGTATGGCTATCTGGTGATTCATTATCTTTAAAATCTTGAAGTAATAAGCATATTAGAGTTATAGTAAAGAACACTTTATTTCTTGGAGCTTTAAAAAGTGTGATTCAAGGTGTTTAATTAGCTATGTAAAGCAACTGTCATTTTGCTTTCTGCAAAGATTAAATACAAACTGGCTTTGTTTCAGGGAAGTAAGCAATGGGATAGAAAAAAAAGGAAAGAAAAAGTCTGTAGGTCGTCCTCCTGGCCCATATACAAGGAAAATGATTCAAAAAACTGCTGAGCCACCTTTGGTAAGAGGGTTTCTTTATAAATGTTCTCGGGAAAGGTTCGTGTGATGATTGAGTGTTTTATTCCAGTTAAAGCAAAACTGTCCTTTAAGAATATGCCTTTTCTTTTTTTTGCTTAAATTTTTTTTTTTTTTTTTTTTAAATTTCCAGGATAAGGAATCAGTTTCAGAGAATCCTACGTTGGATTTACCTTGTTCTATAGGGTAAATAGTTGCTTTTTTCTTTCCTGGGAATTTTGTTTGCGAGGGAGTGTTTCTATTGTTATGTAATATATGTCATACCATTTGCATTCTCTTGTCTCAGGAGAACTGAGGGGCTTGCACACTCATCCGGTACCTCAGATGTGGACCCCATGGGAGCTTCCAGTGCAAAAGAAACTACCTCATCTAGCATTTCCCGGCATTACGGGTAGGCGCTCATTCTGTAGACCAGGCCACCTTTGACTCAGCTTGGGACTGCCTGCCTATCTGTGCCTTGAGTGACACCACTGCCTGGCTTTTTAATTTTTTTCTTAAGTTTTAATTAAATTAAATTTTTTTTTTAAGCTTGGTGAGCCAGTGAGTTATTTTTCTGAGGGAGGATTACTTACGGGACCATATGTGCCTTAAAGGCAGCTCTGTTCCTGGGACAACTCAAACGCTCCATCCTGGAGTGTCCCTGTGTGACTGTTGACAGCTCCAAAGAGCTCCTCTCCAGAGATGCTGCACTGTTTTTACAACTGTAAGGGAAGCGTTGTAGACGCTGCACTATTTGTATAACTGTAAGGGAAGCGTTGTAGACCAGGCTGGCCTTGACCTCACAGAGATTCTCTTGCCTCTGCCTCCTGAGTGAGTCTTTTTTATGCTTTCTGAGTTTTGTAAGTTTCCTAAATCAAGCTTTCCTAGCTTCCTAATTTTTTTATTGATTTTATTGAGCTCTACATTTTTCTCTGCTCCCCTCCCTGCCTCTCCCCTCCCCTTCTACTCTCTCCTCTCCTTCTACTCTCTCCTATGGTCCCCATGCTCCCAGTTTACTCAGGGATCCTGTCTTTTTCTACTTCCCATATAGATTAGATCCATGTATGTCTCTCTTAGGGTCCTCATTGTCTAAGTTCTCTGGGATTGTGATTTGAAGGCTGTTTTTTTTTTTTTTTTTCTTCCTTTTTCCTAGAGAGATGGCTCAGTGGTTTCAAAGTGCTCGTTATTCTTAGAGCGGACCTCTGTTGGGTTCCTAGCACCCACATCAGCCAGCTTACAACCACCTGTAATTCTAATTTCAAGAGATTTGGGGGGCTGGAGAGATGGCTCAGCGGTTAAGAGCATTGCCTACTCTTCCAAAGGTCCTGGGAGTTCAATTCCCAGCAACCACATGGTGGCTCACAACCATTTGTAATGAGGTCTGGTACCCTCTCCTGGCCTGCAGGAACACACACAGACAGAACATTGTATACATAATAAATAAATAAATATTAAAAAAAGAATTCCTTATTTTTTTTTTTTTTAAAAAAAAAAAGAGATTTGGTGTCCTCGCTGTCCTTCCTGGGCACCAACATAGACATGGCATCCATTGGTGTGCACAAGCCTGTGTGTGTAGAGGCTATAAAGTAGTCAGTGCTCTCTTTTCATCTTGTTGGTTCTGGGGGTTGAATTCAAGTTGTCAGTTTGGTGCTTGGTGCCTTTATTCACTGAGCCATCTTGAGGGCCCTACATTAAATGCTCCCTTTGCAACCCAGAACTTAAAACTCATGTTATCCCTCCTTCCACAATCTACTGAATACCAAGATTAAGATTATAAGTGTACCAGATTTGTTAGGAAACGTGTGGCCTGGCCGTTAAGTACAAGCTGTGTGCTTTCAGTTAAAGCTGCCCCCTCCCCCCATCTCCTTGTAGCTCACTATGTAGAGCAAGCTGACCTCAGAGACTTGTGGCCCCTGCCTCCGGAGTTCTGGGACTAAAAGTGTGCGCCCCACACCTGGCTTTTGTTGAGAACTGTGATGCTTGCAGTCTACGACTGTGCCTCATTTTTTTTTTTTTATTTTAATTGTCTGAATCCAATGCATGGCCTTTTGCTCATGCAAAGGTTTTTAAACTCCAGATGATTTTTCTTTTCCGTTCCCTAGATTGTCTGACTCTAGAAAAATCATCTTAGGAGATTTTTCTTTTCTGTTCCCTAGATTGTCTGACTCTAGAAAGAGAACTCGCACAGGACGATCCTGGCCTGCTGCAATACCACATTTGCGGAGAAGAAGAGGTCGCCTTCCAAGAAGAGCACTCCAGACTCAGAACTCAGAAGTTGTAAAAGATGATGAAGGCAAAGAGGATTATCAGTTTGAAGAACTTAACACAGAAATCTTGAATAACTTAGCTGATCAGGAGCTGCAGCGCAATCACCTGCAGAACTCCATCACTAGTTACTTCGGCGCTGCAGGGAGAATAGCATGTGGGGAGAAGTACCGCGTTCTGGCTCGGCGAGTGGCGCTCGACGGGAAGGTGCAGTACCTTGTGGAGTGGGAAGGCGCGACCGCATCCTGACCGCAGGACTGAGTTATGTTCACTGCACTCGTTTCCTGGTGGTCCAGGCTAAAGCCCTGAGAGAATGTGGGTTTCACTATCTTTCTTAAAAAAACAAACAAGCAGAAAACACAAAAAAATTTCACAAAAGGAGATGATACTAGCCTTAACATGTACTTGTCAATGTTACGGATGTTGTCATGAAAAGATATCTTTTAAAAATCAGAGGAGAGACTTAATTTTTTAAATCTTGAGATTTGTAGAATGTTTCTAGGATAGGATATTAAACATGATTTAAACCCATGCATGGTGTTAGATAATTTTTCTAATTATCCATTGAGTCCATTTTTGTGATTAGTGGTTACCAGAGCAAAGAGATCATGTAGATAGCACAAGTATTTGGAGAAATATTGTGTGTTTTGTTACCAAAATGTTGGAAAAATTTATTTCATATCCTTTAGATTTCATAAAGTGCAGTGTATATAATGTCTAATGAAAGACTGTAAAATATTGAAATTTCTTTCAAGCAAAATGTAAAAAATATATTGAGCCTGTAAATTGCTCTGTGACTAGACTTCATTGTCGTCTTAATATATTCTTTGCATGTACACATATATACATGTGTGTATATATGTGTGTGTGATTATGTGACCTATGCAATACAAATTATGGGAATGGGCAGCTTTGGAGCGTATATCCCATGATTCTTATTTCAGGAATAGTTGCAGTATTTACACAGCAGCGTTTCTTCTCAGGCTTGTATTGGGTGCTGTTGCTTGCTATGTATGAAGAGAAATGTGTCAAACAGTTCAGTGTGTACTGAAGAAAGGTGTGAACAACAGTGTTCATAGGCTTTTAGATTGCTTTAGTCCTTGTAACTCCACTGTTGAATACCTAAAACAAATCCAAGCGATATCTACATTATCCTATTAGAAGTGACATTTTTAGTTTCTTGTGGCACATTATGATTGTAAATGTCTGAGTTTTAACAGTACGTCTGCAGGAGGCCGGTGACAACTCCTGACTTGTCTGTAGTCATTGCTAGTCGTGTTGGAATAAGCGTAGTATGAACAAAGTGTTTGATTGCACAGGGTTAACAAACAGTGTGTTGCTAGCTGAGGCTAACTGCTGTTTTATTACAACATTACCTCTTGTTTTTATAAAATGTACCAAGATTTAAATTGATATTTTTGTTTTACATGTTAAAGTTTCTTTTATCATGTGTTAGAGTTGTCTTCTGTTTCTTTTTGTTTTGTTTGTTTTCTTTCTTAGCCAAAGAGTAAACAGAAAAATATTGTTTAGGTAGCTCTTCATTTTACTTTTTTACATGAGTGGTAAATTTTAGACTAAAAATTGGGGAAATTTTTGCCAAAATTAAAAATCTGTGAAGTGTATTGATGAAAGAATGGTAAAACTATGGGTTACTGCTTATTTATTCCATTAATTATTTGACTTTTTTTTTTTTTTAAAGAAACATGCTTTATTTCTTTTAAGCATCTTCAAAAGATGACTTTTCTTGTCACATTGTAGCCAAAAGAAGCAGAGAACTTCGTTGTCCTGCATTTGGTTCCTGGTTGACCAGGTATAGATGAGCTTTACAAAGTGCAAATTACAAACTGTCACTTCTGTTCACCGCCACCAAAACGTGATTTCCCCTAGCTATTAACTTAAGGTTGCCTTTCCTGCGGCTGCAATATTTTGAATAATACACAGAGATTGTGTTGATTTTTGAATGTTTGTTTATCTAGGGGTAATGCAAAAATGTAATTCCTTATTCGCTCTAGCTGTACCATATCTCATTTCCCCACATCCTTTAATTCTAACTGAACACCAGCAGTATTTTAGTGACTCTTGAAGACACGCAGAAGACAACTTACCAAGCTGAACTGTCTCTAGACGTAATTATTGTGAATGTCTGTTTGCTTTTACCATGGTGGTTCACATGGCTCTGATGTTCAGTTTGTATTTTTGAAATTGCTATACTTAGAATTAAAGCAGACCAACATTAAATGTGTGTATTTTTTAAAGAGCTAATGAGTTTTTCTTCTGTATTTGCTTGAAAATACACACTGGTGCAGTAGTAAACTGCTTTTATTTATCTAGGGAGGGAAGGATTCTCTAATTTTACTTTTATTTACTTGAGTTAGTCTTTAAAGACCTTTGCTTTCATTTATTTTTTTCTCCCATAATAACATTAATAAATACTGTGTGTTCATCTGAAATGATCTTTTAAAAAGTTTATTTTTAGACAGCTTGCATCAAGCTTTGTATTTGGAAGACAGTATGTCTCTTCTCTGTCCTACCCTGTTCCAGATATGAGAGAATTTCAAACTTCATAACTGTTTCTTCTGCACAGGGGTTGGTGCATATGTAAAACAAAATTTCCATTTTTGCTGAAATGTTTTTTGCCTAAACTACAGAATGAAAATTGTAAAATAATATACCTTTCTTTCTTTTTCTTTTTAAGCATTTAAGAGAAATACAAAAGAGCAAGCAAGCTGTAAATCTTGGCAGCTGCTGAACTAGGCAGATATAGAAGAGGACAAGCCATGTCTTTTGAGTTAGGCTCCAGCTGTCCAACAAGCAGCAACAAGGCAGAAGTGGAGTTTTTAGGAACAGCAGCGTCGTGGAAGTACTCCCAGGTTTTGGAAAAGGCTAACTCAGAAGAGCAGGTAGACTAAGAGAAACGTGGTAGCAGCTCCAGAAGACACGGTAGCAGACCTTATTTTAATCTTTCTCCTTTGTGATTTAAAATATTTTGTAATGACCCCGGTACTAAATGACAAGCCAGCAGAAGAGCTGTAAATTCTCAATGCTGAGCTCAAGCAGTCTTCTGGTCTTTGTATGAACGCCAAAGTAAGTCTGTAAGTTCTGATATATATAACGGAAGTCAGACCTTGCCAGGTGAGTTAATGTCCAAGTATCTGTATTTGTTTTTTGTCATGGATATATTCAGATTCCTGTATACCATTGTGGGATAAAATTGTGTTGTGGGTTACTTTATTGTGTTCCTGCTAGGTACTATGAAATTTTGGTTGGAATATATTCTGGCTTAAAATAGTTACTAGAGGTTGAAAGAGATTGTTTAATGGCTAAGGAAGATACCTCCCCCCACCAGCCCTCTATGGAGCAATTTTCTTTCTCAATTATATTTGACTACAAAACTCCAAAAGTCCCATTCAGTTTCTTTTAAGGCAAAATTTGATATGTCATACAGTAGGGACAAGAGTCTTTGCTCCAGAATATAAACAAAACTTGACAGTTAAAAGTAAAGTAAGAACTTTATCTAATCATGGGTGTTTTTCTAATTGGAGTTAATTAGGGAGTTTAGATGCCTCTGATACATTCTGACATCGGAGAAACTTTGTAAGCAAACTGAATTATAATATCAGGGTTTCAGAGTAATAGCTACAAGAAATGAGATATTTTCCTTATATTTAAAATTAGAATAAGCTCAGTGTGCTGAGGATTGCAAGTATCTCTCACTATGTGAGAGGCTGAGGTGGGAGGATTAAGATTCAGTGCACCTGCATCCCAGCACTCAGGAGGCTGAGGCAGGTGGATCTCTCTGAGTTTGAGGACAACCTGGTCTACAGAGTGAGTTCCAGGACAGCTAGGAGTTCACAGAGATAACCTGTCTAGAAAAACAAAAATTTTGAGGCTAGCCTGGGCTACATACATAGTGAGACTCTGTCCCAATTAATTAAAAATTTAAAATGAACAAGAATAAGATAAATAAACAAGATTACTGCCCTTTTGTACCTGACAGAATCTTCTTTGTTAGCCCATTCTCTTGTTACATTTTCTGCTTCTGGAGATGCATATAAAAACTGGATTCTTAGTAATTCCTTTTCTCAAGGATGTAATTTGTCACACTATTCCACAAGCATAGAAACCTTCACAGGGGATATGTTATGTATTTTGGGATAAAACAAATATTCTGTTCAAAATTTCTAGTTTAGCCATGTGACAGAAAACAGGCCTGTAGTATCTTATTAGCACTTGAGAGGCTGAGACAGGTAACCTGGAGCCTGCATGTGACCCAGTATTAAGATTCTCTCAAAATCCTAGTCTATGTCCTGCTTCTTTTATTCATAGTCAGACATTCTTTTTGTTCCTACTGTATGACATGCATTCCTCTTGGATCTGATGGTAAGTTTTTGAATGTACAAAAATTGGTGTATGAAGAGTGACCAGTAATAGAACCCTGGATAACATTTTGCTCAACTGAGTTTTACCACAAAAAAAANAAAAAAACCCAACAAAAAAACAGAATTTTCTCAGGTCTGATGTGAACAGCATTTTTATGGAGTTTATAGAATGTACTCAATGTGTGTAAGATCAGTGATACAAAACTAGCCTGTTAATGTATCTTTTGAATGGTTGAGTGCTCTGTCTTTAAAATATTTGAAAGGTGGTCTGTACATGCCTGTAGACTAACTACCACTGGCCTCCTAGTAATGTCTTGTCTTCTTATAACCTAGTCTTTGGGAAATTAATACCATTTTATATTGTCTTATTCTACCATGATGATCCCATCCACTAGGACTTTATGATGTGCCAGAAAGTTGGTGCCCAACGTACAGTGCTGGCACACTAGGGCTACCCAGAGAAATCCTGTCTGGGGTGACGGGGGGGGGGGGGGGGGGGGGGGGGGGGGGGGGGGGGGGGGGGGGGGGGGGGGTGCCCATCTGAATGTGGGTTTGTTTTTTTTCATTCTTCAAGGCAGGGTTTCTCTGTGTAACAGCCCTGGCATTTTCTTTTTTAATTTTATTCTCAGATTTATGTATCTATGAGTGCCTGCATGTATGTATTTGCACCACTTGGGTATAGATGCATAAGAGGTCTGAAGAGGTGGTTCTCTGAAAATGGTTACTTGCTGTCATGAGATGTTTGGTATCACCTGGGAGAAGAGCCATCTCTCCCATCCCAAACCTAAAAGTATCACTGAAGGGTAAGTCTTTTGGTTAAGACTCAAGAGTGATTTCTATATTAATTAATTAATTGATATTGACCTCTGGCTGCCACACATTCATGAATGGGCGAGCAGCATTCAGTATTCCATTTTTGGCATATTAAGCTTTTTCCATCTGCCTTGGAAATATGAGCATTATTGTATTGCTGTATATAGTGATCCTTAAGATCTGGACTGGATCCTTACTGAGTGGGTAGGGACTCTTAGATACTTATTTTGATGGGCACAGTGGCACATGCTTTTATTCCCAGCACTGGTAAGGCAGAGGTGAGTGGATCTCTGGGTTCCAGGCCAGCTTTGAATACGCAGTGAAACCCTGTCCTAAGTTTACATGGCATGTATATGTGTATGAATGTGCATGCATGCTGCAGTGCATGTGTGTCAGTCAGGACAAATGTGGAGTCAGTCCTAATTCTGCTGTTGTATTTAGGCAGAGTTACTTTTTTTTTTTTAATCTTATTTGCATTAGTTTTTTGCCTGCATGTATGTCTGTGTGAGGCTGTCAGATCTTGAAGTTGCAGATGGTTGTGAGCTGCCATGTAGATGCTGGGACTTGAACCCAGGTCCTTTGGAAGAACAGTGTTCTTAACCACTGAGCCATCTCTCCAGCACTATGGTAGTTAGATTTACACTGCAAGCGTTTTATTACCAAGACATTTCACCAGCCTGCTGTGTTTATGCTGGGGGTTGAACACGGTCCTTAACTGTGCTAAGTATATGTAAGTACTGATTAATAACACCAAATTTGCTTCAAGCGAGGAAAATAATATTGGAAAAAAAATTAAGGATAATGTACTTATAAAATATTTAATACCTTTGAAAGCTGAGTAAAAATTTCATTTTATGTGGTGAGGGGAAACAATGGAAAAGACAGCAAAGGCTAAAATAATTTATAACAGCTTCCAGGAGTGCCTTCCAGATTAGAGTACTTTTTTTGTCTTTGGTATTTGAAGATAGTTTGGAAAATAGTTAGACATTTTTTGTAGTCTAATCAAAGACAATCTTGCATACTAAACATTCAGAGCCTTTTTAAAAAGGATACAAATCTTGGGCCAGTAAGACGTTTACCCCCAGGCCTGACAACCTGAGTTCAGTCCCTGGACCTACGAAGGGAAGAAGATAACTGACTCCTCAAAGCTGTCCTCGGACACTGGTCCCGGCTCCCAAGGATGCTCACAGTAAATTCAAGTATTTAAAAGAGAAAGCTCTAGCTCTGGATCTTTTATCATGTAAACATGACGTGAAGGAAACCATCCTAATCTGTTACTTCTCTGCTAACTCCAAATGATCGTGTCTTTTTTTTTTTTTTTTTAAGATTTTATATATCTAGTGTTCTGTCTGCATGTATGCCTACATGCCAGAAGAGGGCACCAGATCTAATTATCGATGTTGTAAGCCACCGTGTGGTTGCTGGGAATTGAACTCAAGATCCCTGGAAGAGCGGCCAGTGCTCTTCACCTCTGAGCTCTCTCTCCAGCCCCAAATGATCATGTCT